ATGCTTAGAGTACAATGATAAAAATCACCTGGTCATGGCTCACTGTCAAAATGTACTGACCATGTCTTCCCCAAGAAATATCTGTCACAGGGGCAAAATGCCCAGACGGAACCTTCTGCGGCAGCCAGTTATCCGTATCAATTCCAATATTCCTCCACATATGAAACGCTCCACCATAACCATGAGCTAAAATTGACTGTCCATCTGGGCTCCAGTGGCCTCCATAAAAACCTAATGCAGAATGGCTCAACTCTCCAACTGTGACCACATTCATCCAAATGCCAGTTTTCTTTTCAGGCTGCCAGATCATCATTGCCTTGTCCATTGACGCAGACAATATGCTTTGGGGTTGACAGTAACTACTACCTTCATTACGTGTAGAGGGAGGTTGCCATTCCACTGAATAAACCCAGTCCTCGTGTCCAATTAAAAGAGACTCAAGAGATATTTGATAAGAAGATGAACCAGCCACAATTATAGGACCCTCAATGTAGGATGCTAAGCTAATTTCCTTCCTGTAGGTTTCCTGCCCTTCTCCACCTGAGAACCCCAGCAAAGACATCTTCCAGATGCGTATGCCTTTGTCTTGAGAAGAACTGACAAGCATGATGCTATTTGCTTCACCCGGCTTGCATATTGGTAATGAGAAGTCTAGACTCCTGATCCAATCTGTATGTGCTTTCAATTCACAACCACGAACAAACTGAAAGAATAAGCATAAACAAAACCCATCTATTTTAGAGGTACAGAAAGAACTTCATGCGGGAAAACAAAAGAATGCACGTATAAATTACCTTTCCTGTCCTCTTTCCCCAGTACATGTGAATCTTGTTGTCCAAGCCACCCATTGCAAGGGTGATATGCTCAGAATTTCCAGGTAATTCTGCTAGTGACAAAGCAACCATAGGCTTTGAACCAACTGAAAGACTCTCAAAACATGATAATTTGCATTCACCTGATGCCAACATTAGAATTAACCATAAGGAACGATATTGCGATAACTGAACTCAAATAACATAATTCATGTTAAATACTGATGATAAGTCCACCAAACATTAAATAAACTACTTGAAGAGCTCATGCATGCTTGAGACATGCAATTTCTGTCGTCTGATTTAAATATAAGATTCAAGAAACAAAAGTAGCACAACAAGGGTTGAAGTGATTTATGTATGCAAAGAATTAATCTGACAAGTCATAGTAACCATACCATAGAACTAAAAGTAAATGGCAAACTAAGCAATATCACAACTGAATTACTATATGCCATCGTCAGATCAAATGCTTAAAACAGAATTTCCTACATTGTTATTGCCAGTAATAAACTCTACATAGGATATTCTCAGCACAATAACAAGAAAATAGGTATCTGTGATCTACGATGATTCAAAAGCAAACTGTTAACAATTTAGAAAAGATAAAACATCAGCAAAATAGCAGAATGGCATCAATGTTTGAAATACACGACAAATCAAATTACGTCTCAGACAGTTAGGCTTTCCAATGTTTTACTTGGAACTAATTCACCCAATGATTACTATAACTCTTAAAGATGTGGAATCGCAACAAAGCAAAACCATTAAGCACCAGAACAAAACATCCAGTCGAAAGTAATACCAGCAGATCTTACTTACCCCCAGGAGAACAAGGAAGGATGAGCTCCCATAAATGAACTGCACCATCAGAGGAACTAGAAGCAAATATGGTGTCAGTTAGTGAAACCATAATTCCAGTTATGCAGGTAACACCCTTCTTGTGTAATTGTGGTAGCTGCATCACTAGCCGCCACTGCAAAGATGAAGCAACCAGAAAATAAGAGACATTCAAACACAAGAGCACGTTACAATATGAAGCGGGAGACACCACGGCAAGACAGAGTTTAGTTTGGTGCATTCATCAAGAGAGTTATAAATGGAGAACTACCCTAACCTTTTAGACCCAATCAACTTAAAAACCAGGCAATATTGATAACATAATCAAGTTCAACATACTCATCTTCGGTTTTCAAAGTTCCTATAATGGGAAATCCATTAGAATACACAGATACATAAGATACTTCTTCCTGCGTTCTTCAACAATCTTAACAACAGCGTTTGCCTCAATCGTAATCATTTGTATACCTGCTTGAACTTCTGTAATAAAGAAAGTACCTTTCTATCAGCAAGTGTCATTCCCCATAGAATGATGACGCCATCCGAATCTCCTGATAGAAGATAATGGCTCTCCAACTTTTTTGCTGCAATTGCAAAAGAAAAGAGTGTTAGTATTCACAACCCCTAATCACCAGCACACAAACAGAAAGGTATATCGCTATTGAATAACCCTCTAGTTTTCGAAGACCAAGGCCAGAGCAAGCAACAACAACAATACAGAAACAATCCTTCCCGAGAGCTACGGACATGTCACCATCAAAAGTGAAGCACCTACCTCTCACTTCCCGATATCCACAGAAGAAAAAGAAAAATCACCTCTGAATGCAAACTTGGCGCCAGGAATCCAGTGAGTGCAATTGACAGGTGCTTTATGGCCGGGAAGAGTGGTCAATATCTGAGCAGTCTATTAAAAATGGAGCAGAAAGAGCATAAACTTAGAAGCTCAGGGCATCACAAGGATGAACAAGTACATGATGAAACAACTAATAGGGAGAAGTAAACCTTGGGGCAGAAAATGGCGACGGCATTCTGAGAACCGAAGGAAACGAGATCACAGGCGCCCCAGGAGACGTTATTCACAATTCGATTGCATCCTGCGGCGATGAACACGCTCTTGACTATGACATCTTCACTCTCTGTCATTACTGAATCAGTTGTCGTGGTCTCAAGCAAGAAGCGACAAAAAGAAAAGAGCAGAAAGAATTGGAAGTTTTCTGCTGGTATTCGAAGAGCAAGTAAAGCTCGGAAAGCGGAGAACCAGAGACTGGGACCGTAGAGAGGGGAGGGCGGCCGGGAAAATTATGGAGACAGACAGAGTCGGGGGGAAAAGGAGAAAGTGGTGCGAGTGCCACTGAGACCGACGAAAGATGTGAGGACTGAGGGCTGAGGGCGGCGGCTCTATGGGTTGGGAGTTGGGACTAGCCTCAGCATGGGCTTTCTTACTCCACTGGCTTGGACTTGGCCCGTTGGCCGGAGTATCTAAATTTTCATTTTTATTATCTAAATTTTCATTTTTGTTGATGAATATTTAGACATTAAATGCGGTAAATAATAAAGTCAGGTGAATGTCACGTTTCGTCATTAAGTTTACTAAAACATGTCATGTTTAATCATTGAAAAAATTAATATCAATGTTGGTCACTTGAATTCGGTTCGAATTCGGTTTGAAGTTTGGGAGAATTCGGGGACCCAGTATTCATAATTTTGGTTTGGTCGAATTTGTGCGACTACTTGTATCTTCTCACTTTTAAATTATTTTTCACCCCTAATATAAATAATAAATATTCAATTATATGCATCATCAATGATAAAATCAAACTTTTCAACACATAAATCATAAAACATTTCAAATATTTAAGTCTAAAAACAACTACAAACATAAATCCACCATTTGGAGCTTGCAATTATAGTATTTCGGTTTTTCGGTCGGAAATTCGGTTCGGTTGAAAGAACCCTGGTTTCCGAAATATTCATATTTCCCTTCCGAATTCCGAACCGAATAGCATTATTTTGGTTTCAGTTCTGTTTAATTCAGGTTCGGTTCAGGTTTACCGAACCGGTTGCCCACCCCTAGTAGCAAATGAGGCAGAAACTGAATATCGCAGCCTGGAGCAAGAGATCACGGCGAGAACTATGCATTGGAAGACAAGTCAAAGATCGCGGACGAAGACCCCTTTCCCCTATAAGAGAGCTGCTTTTGAGATATAATTTCTGATTTTAGAGAGAGGAGCTGAAGGAATGAGAAGAAGAGAAGAAGGAGAATGAGCTAGAAGAAGAGGAGACATCTTCCTCAACAACAAGTCTTCTTCCACATCTTCTATTTATCTTCTTCCCTCCTTTACAGAGTGGTTCTAAACCCCAAACCCTAGTTTTAGGGTTACTATGTATGTATGGATATCATGTGTAATTAAGCCCGAATCAGTTTTGCTAATGAGCGAGGATGCTAGGATGTGGGTTTATCAGCGCCGTGAAGTCCACAATGTCATGAGTTCCACGGATTTACGAGTTCAACAATGCCGTGTCCTAAGCAACAATGTTGTTTTCTTAAGAAACAATGGTGCTCCCCTTAACAACGATGAAGTTTGAGTTGTGGTTTAGAGCCAACTAGCCCAGGATGGAGAACAGGGTCTAGGTCAAACAACATCGTTGGGCTAGCAATGTCGTTTGGTTCATCGTAGTTTGAACCTGCCTCCAAATTCGCTATCTTCTTGTATTGGTTTCATTTTTTGCTTTTTGTTCTGTTTGAACCCCTATGTTCTTTCGTTCTTAGTGCTCTGCTCTTGCCTGAGAGCCTGTGTTGTGTTCTTCTGTTTCCCCTTCTCATTTCTCGTGGGAATCTTGTTCGTGTACTCTATTTTGGTTTCTTTGACTTTAATTCAAGTTCATCATCATTATATTTTTTTTTTGTAGAAGCAAGCGACATCATTGATTTTTATGGATGATGTGAGTGGCGGAAACCCATGAAAATCATTTAGCCGCACCGTGGATTGGTTCACAACGACGTCGTAGATGAGAATAACATGATTGCAAAGCTAGGATGATCAGGTGAAACGATGTCCTTGGATATACCATTTTATGAGTGGTGTTGCCTCGGATATTGTTGTGTTCAGTTCTATGAACCATGATGGGTAACCGCTGGTGGAGAGTTACCCAACTTGGTCCAGCGGTGTTTTAGTTATCAAGTCACCTGGTGATTCTATTCAGTAGCTTTCTACCTTGGTGGGAGGTTTTTTCCCATGTGGGAGCTATGCGGAGTGGAGTTTACGACTTAGGGAAGTGTAGAACATCCGGGAGACAAAGGCGGACGATTACTACGACGATGAAAGGAGGACTTTGTATCAACATCTGAAACAACGGGGCACTCTGGACGGTAAAATCAAATCTCAAACACTATAGTCACAACCTATCGTTTTCCTTTAGTTCGTAGAACTTCTTTGTCAAAGATCTTTGGAGAGACGTAGTAGATTGTAGCGTAGTCATAGAGCTCTCATGAGAAATCTCTATAGGAGTAGAAGTAATGTAATTTGGATTCCTCGTTGTTCGTTTAACATCCTCATTCTTATATTTTTTTTTTGGATAAAAATCCTCATTCAAACATTGTTTGAAAATGTATGAACCGAATAATAGGTATTTGATTTACTTGATCTGTTTATTTAATTCTCTCAAAACCTAATTGTGGCCAAGATTAACTTTAGACTCCTGTTATTGTTGAGCAGCTCAACATTCCAATAAAGGTTCCGTGTCATATGGCAAATCTTCGCTGGACTCGTTCACCGATTCCAAGCCACACAAATACCACTTCAGTCTGGAAGAGAGAACAAGGCAAAAGTGGAAAATGAAAAGTGAAAAAAGAAAAACACGAAACAAAATAGTAAAACGGTAAAAAGTGGAGATCCGGATAATCAAACCCGAAGCGGACCGCTGTAATTATATACGAGTGGGGAGCTCAGTCCCTGTTCAAACCCTAGCGAAAAAAAGAACCCATCCCATCCCTTTTCCTATCTCTTCTCTCTCTCTCTCTGGTCTGAAGCCCCGTCCATGGCTTCACGCAGAATCGTATCGTCGCTTCTCCGATCGGCGTCGCGCCGTTCCGCGTCGTCGTCGAATCCCAATCCTAAACTTTTCTCCCCCTCCCCAGCCTCCGCCCGCCGCGCATCTCCGTATGGCTACCTTCTCACCCGCACCTCCGAGTACGCTACTTCCGCCGCCGCCGCGGCCCCTGCGCAATCGGCTCCCGTGAAGACCGGTGGAAAGGATGTAGGTAAAATCACCGATGATTTCACCGGGAAAGGTGCGATCGGGCAGGTGTGCCAGGTGATTGGTGCCGTCGTCGATGTCAGATTCACTGAGGGTCTGCCGCCGATCTTGACTGCTCTCGAGGTGTTGGATCACTCGATCCGTCTGGTTTTGGAGGTGGCCCAGCATTTGGGAGAGAACATGGTCAGGACCATTGCTATGGATGGTACTGAAGGCTTGGTCAGAGGCCAGCGTGTCCTCAACACCGGTTCTCCCATCACTGTAAGTCGTCGCTCTCTCCAACTCCATTTCTGGGTCTTTTCCGACATATTTCTATCTGTGATCATAGAACCTTCGCTTTTTTCTGTATTCCGTTGATCGCTGGTGTTGGATTTTTCTAGGTTGAGAATATCTGGGGACTAGGGTTTTCTTTTCACGCCCATTTGGAGTTTAGGGATCTTGTAGTGCCTGTTTTTCAGATCTAGGGATTCCTTATTTTCGTTCCGTTCCTGGAAATTGGGGGGAAATCAACTCGGTCTACGTGGATTACAGATTGGGATCTTGTTCTTCTATGCTCCGTTATTTTCAGACCCGAGTGATTTATTTGGTCGATGATAAGTTTTTATGAACAACCCTTGTCTTTTTCATTCCTCGTGCGGTAAGCTGCCATTCTTAGCTTCTGGTGTCTTTTGTTGGATTCCGCCTTGATGACCTGCTTTTCTTGATATAGCCAATGTTTTGGCTGATTTCTCTCATTCTGTCGGTCAATTCTCCATGTCTGCGGTTAATTAATGGTTACAACGTTTGAATATTCGAAGTTGATTTGGTTACTTGCATTTCAAAACAGGTGCCTGTAGGCAGGGCTACTCTTGGCCGTATTATGAATGTTATCGGAGAGCCTATTGACGAGAAGGGAGACATCTGTAAGAACTCTCTCCTGTTGGTCTTTGTTTTGTGGCGATTGTGGGGTTGAGTGATTAACTGTTATATTTTGTGCACATCAGCAACGGAGCACTTCCTGCCCATCCATAGGGAAGCTCCATCCTTTGTTGAGCAGGCCACTGAGCAGCAAATTCTTGTCACTGGTATCAAGGTACTGGTTAACAACTAAGTTAGAAGTTCTCTTATTTTTGTTCTGCTTTGCTTGTGCTCATGGAGCTAAACCATATCATCCCCCTTCTGTTCTAGAGATGTCGAACTACACTAATTGATGCCATATTTTGCTTTACCTCTGTTGTAGGTTGTTGATCTCCTCGCACCATACCAGAGGGGTGGAAAGATTGGTCTGTTCGGTGGGGCTGGTGTTGGAAAAACAGTGCTGATTATGGAACTTATCAATAATGTTGCCAAGGCCCATGGTCGGTAGTTCTCCTTGAAACCTAGGTGTTTTTATGGGCTTGGTATCTAGTTCTCTAATGTTAATTATTTGAACAGGTGGTTTCTCTGTTTTTGCTGGTGTTGGGGAACGTACCCGTGAGGGTAATGACTTGTACAGAGAAATGATTGAGAGTGGTGTCATTAAGCTAGGGGACAAGCAGGTTAGTATGTCTATCTTGCTTAATTGTGATTAAGGTTTTTGCATGTACTAGTGTTGGTTAACTTGTATGCTGTTTTGTTTGTCTGGGCAGGCTGACAGCAAATGTGCTCTTGTGTACGGTCAAATGAATGAACCACCGGGTGCTCGTGCCCGTGTGGGTCTCACTGGTCTAACTGTTGCAGAGCACTTCCGTGATGCTGAAGGCCAGGATGTGCTTCTCTTTGTTGATAACATTTTCCGATTCACCCAGGTGAGAAGCATAGTTACTCAATTCCGTTTCTTGTTTGATGGACTTTCCGGCTAAAGCATCAGAAATGATGACCTACTCATTTTGGGGGACTTTGATGTCATCGTGTAGGCCAACTCAGAGGTGTCTGCCTTGCTTGGTCGTATTCCATCTGCCGTGGGGTACCAACCAACTCTTGCTACAGATCTTGGAGGACTCCAAGAGCGTATTACAACCACCAAGAAGGGCTCCATTACTTCCGTTCAAGCTATCTATGTGCCAGCTGATGATCTGACAGATCCTGCTCCGGCTACCACCTTTGCTCACTTGGATGCCACCACTGTTTTGTCACGACAGGTGGGATTTATGAATCATTAGTGTCACCTTACATTTATCTCAAGTAGTAGTTGTCTACTAGTGGGATTTCTAATTGTGAGATTTCTTTGACGGAGAGCAGATTTCGGAGCTGGGTATCTATCCTGCTGTTGATCCTCTGGATTCCACATCCCGTATGCTTTCTCCTCACATTCTAGGAGAAGATCACTACGGAACTGCTCGTGGAGTGCAGAAGGTTCTCCAGAACTACAAGAATCTTCAAGATATTATTGCCATATTGGGTATGGATGAGCTAAGTGAAGATGACAAGTTAACGGTTGCTCGTGCCCGTAAAATTCAGAGGTTCTTGAGCCAGCCTTTCCATGTCGCCGAAGTTTTCACAGGTGCCCCTGGCAAGTACGTTGAGCTGAAGGAGAGCATCGCCAGTTTCCAGGTACTCAAACCCACACCATTTGTTGAAATCAAAACCATTGCTTGGCCTCTGAGAAGGCGGTGTTCAGTTTGTATCATCAACTGGTTTGGCTGATAATATTTGTTGGGTTTGTGATCAGGGTGTGTTGGATGGAAAGTACGACGACCTCTCAGAACAGTCATTTTACATGGTAGGAGGAATCGAAGAGGTGATTGCCAAGGCCGAGAAGATTGCCAAGGAGAATGCATAGTAAAACACAAAGGGAAGAAGTGGCCTTTTTGTTTTTCCTTGTTATTTTTGGGGGGCGGGTTTAATCCCATCATGACAACTTAGCCTTTTAATCTTGGGTGTTCCCCCGTCCTCTGATAATTCCGAAAATCAATAATCTGTGTTTTAGACAGCCACTGGCAAGGGGGATTCCTTGCCCGAGGATGATGATGATATGTTCAAATTTTTTTGAGACTAGAAAAGATTGCGGGATTGGCTTTTTCTCTCTTGCTGGTCTTTTGAGGGCCCCGAATTGGATGCAGTTGAACCCCTCCCCGAATTATTTTGTTCAATAAGCTGTTGGTTGGGATGATGAGAAATATGATGTTGGGGAGTTGTATATCAGGTGCTGCCTTTGCGAGCTGACCTTTCTAGATGCTCTGCTGTTTTTTGCTGTGACAATTGTTGGCAATTTCTGACCTGACTACGACGGTGGCTGTTATTTGATGGGCAGTAGTATGTCTGTTGTTTGATGAGCAGTAGCATGAGGTGGTGGCGTGGTGCATAGATATTGCTTCCAACATGTTTTGGTTTATCTTGTTCTATTTTCAGACTTGTTCGGTCATGATTTGCATCAATAATTATCTGTATTTCTTCTCTTTTGATTTTTTAAAATAGTATTTTCATTTAAAGAAATATAAGATTGCAGGAGAGCTTATCCTAGGAGATTTCTTCGAATTCTTGATTTATTTGCTCGGATTCGGGCATATTGTCTCCTCAATCGGAGTTTATGTGTGGATACCATTTTCATCCATAATTTGGGGAGTAAATTAACGTGTTGTTGCAGAAGTTATTTCCATCTCCTGACCGTTAGCCTGATAATTATCCTCCGAGGGTTTTGGCCATGGGAAAAATCAACCAGTCTGATATCAGGGACAACCGGATTGGAGCCTATCTTAACGAAGTTCTGCATTGCTTATCAAATTTATGGGGGTTCAGTGTGCGGTTTGTAGATTCGCGTAGTAATAGGGTAGCCTATTTGGTGGTTAGGGCCTAGGAAGGCTCTTCTTTTGTACCCGACTGCGAGTCGTTTCTTTGACTTTATGGTCTAGTTAAATTCTAGGATGTAATTATCTTTTTTCTAATCAATATATGATTATCTTTTGTAAAAAAAAATTATCTTCATCCTTTCACACGTGAGCGATCATATTTCTCAGTCGGGCACTCCTACGTCTCCCATTTGTGAGAGTGAGATGGGATGGGATGGCTATAAATACTCGGTTGATAGAGCCTGCAAAACTCACTCTACTTTGAGCAGCATAACCTCAGTATTGAGCAACAAAAGCAAGTGAATCACTTGCCCAATCAACCCTATATTTCGAGGGCACATCGTTTTAGGTTCGTTTCTCTTTGCATTTTGCTCTTTTCTTCTTTGTGGCAAGATGAGAATGGTTGGGCTTTTGGGGTTATTGCTATGCATGGGTTTTCTGATTCGATGTTTACTCCTGTTCTGGATGGCTCGGGCTAGCACCATGGTCCATGCAAGGATAATGACTAGATTGTTAACAACAGGCTCAGCTTTTCATGGACAATATGCCGATTCCCTTGCTCCAACATATCGTCAATAACCGGTGGAAGTGCAGTGCTCCAGTGGCGGTCTTGGAAGATGGTTGCTACAAAATACACTCATAACGAAGGCCAAGTGTAACCAATAAAAGAGACTACTGTATAGTGCCACAAGTAATAAAATATCGAATCCACGAGTCTCTAGATTTACTATTAGTCAGCTTCAGTTTATTATTAGCAGAACAGATCTAGAGTAAACAACTTGACTCGCTCTAAACCACTCTCCCAATCGAAGACCAAGTATAACCAACTATCGAGTGTAGCATAGTGGAAGTAAAGTAATAAAATTATGAACCCTAGGGTCTCTAGGTGTACCATTACTCCGCTTCGATTTGTTAACTAGCGAAACAAGGTTTGAGATTAAGAAACTAAGCTCACTAACTACTCCAACAACTACACTAACTAATTACAAGTTGGGAGCTCACTTGGGCATTGATCCCCCTAGCCACTAGCCTGATCAAAGATTGATGATTCTCTAACTTGATTCATTCTCCATTCATAGTGCGGAGGATCTTTGACTAATCCTTGAATCTCTATTGGAGCAATCAAGACCCTTTTGAGTCGGTTGCTTAGATGGTTTAGACCCTCTCTAATGGGTGTGATAGAAACCCACATTTCTGCCGTTTAACTATTTGGACTATTTTGTCGGTTTCTTATTATTTATGTTTCTATTGGGAACTTTGAGGGGAATTTTGAGGAGACTAATAAGTTAGGGTAATATTTGGAAATTGTCGGATTATATAAATATTTTGTAAGTGAGGATTATGTCACTAAGCAAAGATTAAACCTAATACCGTTTTCCTAATCCCTCCTCTCTTTCCTTCTCTACCGAATCCCCTCTCCCTCTCTTCCAAGCTATTGTTGCAACATTCTTCTTCTTCCCTCCTTCTCTAAATCTCATCTAACCTCCCATCAATTCCTAGTCACAAGGGCGAATCAATTCCTAGTTGATCGCTCCTTCGTCAATTCCTAGATAGAATCCCGGGGCATTAGACTCGGGTTTCTATTATTTGGTATCAGAGCCCGGTTCCGAGAATGAAGTATGTCACGAATGTAGATCATGGACGAGTAGAGAAGACCAATGGAGGTAACCAAGTCATAGACCGCGACGGACAAGGCTGCCGAGAAGGCTGCAATGGAGAAAACTGGGGCGGAAATAGGAGCCAAGAAGACAGCCACCACCGGTGCACCTAGAGAGATACCGACAAAGAGCTCCTTGTTGCAAGAGGAGTAGTTGTGCGAGGGGGTCGTGACAGATGAGACGGAAAATGAGGCCCTCAAGGCCTCAATGCAAACTCTTATGGCAATGCAGCTCAGAACGGACGTCAGCGTAGCGGAGCTGCGAGCAGAGGTGGAGGAGTCCAAAGGTCTATGGCTGTGTTGACAAAGACCCTCGCTAAGGTGCGGGAAGGACAGAGGCAGATGGATCCTTGGCAGCAGCGCCGATACGAAGGCTCCGATCGTGATGCCAAGGGTGGCGGTGGCAGAGCTCAGCGCCGCCGTAGGAGGAAAGAAGACGATCAAGGCGTAGATGGGAAGCACTACCGCGGAAGGAGGAGTAGCGCCAAAAACAGGTGAAATGGCGGCTAGGGTAAGCACAACCCCATGCCTGGAGACCTCGGAGCATGTGGGCCATGGGGAAAGTGGGCCATGAGATGGAACTGGCTGTTACCAATTCCATCGGCCCAAGAGATAGTTGCGCTACGTAGGAAGACTAAAATGTCGGGGCTAGGACAACTTGGTCCAAAATCAAGGCTTCGGGTTGCTGGGCCAGAGAGGGCTAGATAGAGCGGACTAGAGAGGTAGCAGTCAGACCAAACCAAACCATTCGAACCGATACTGGTTGGACCGAGAATGGTCGAACCGATAGCAGAAAATTGACTCACCCTTGTGTTATCGATCCCCTACTTACAATCCATGGTGCTCTAATTGACATCAATAGATATTCACTCTCATAGGTCAATAACAATATCAACTAATCTTGATCAATGAAAATTTAAAATCAAAACATGCATGGTTTGGATATGAACTCAAGAATGTCAAGATATAGTATTCATACAATCATTCAGTCAAGCTAAACATAGCTAGGAATCATCAAAACCTAAGTTAAGGAGAATACAATATAAAACTCAAGATTTTCAATCTTCATGTCTAGGGTTGATCTTCCATATCCATTGGTGATGGGTACCTCCAGTTTAGCTCCAAGAACCCTCCTAGATCGCTCTCCCTCTCTTTGGATTGCTTCTTGGGAGTTTTTGGCCGAAAACACATATCTTCCCTCTCCAAAATCACAGTAGCAACTATATATCCGCAGAGTTGCCCGACTCACGGTCTTATGTCTCGTCCATGACATCGACACAATGAACGTGGCATTGGCTAGAAATGCACTGCATTAGGTGAACAAGTCACGACTGTGTTGCTGATGTCACGATTGAAGTTCAAAAGGTCAAGAAGCTCAACATTGAGAATGACATCAAGCACAATATGAGTATGTCCACGAAGAATCAAGAACTGCATCACATCCCGAAAAACTCTTCATGAGAGATAATAAAATATACCAATAGTTTATTACGTCATGGACCGAATACGTACATTTAGTCAGTTGTATCCACTTAAGTGCGCGCACACACACACACACAATTATGATGCACAAGAGTACAATGACCAATACAGATTGCCAACTTGCATTGATAAAATCATATCAAAATTGTACATCATTAAGAATACTAAATAATCCAATCTAGTTAAACTCTAGATTAGCGAAGTAGTAATACCATAGGGTGGTGACCAAGGTTGTATGCCTGGGACATTTAGGTCTAACACTACTCTTTAGCTCAAGCTACTATCTAGTCAATAATATGGAAATATTTGAATATATGAATTAAACTAAGTAACATGAAAGAAACAAAACTAACTAGAAGGAGAATCTCTTGAGATAGGTGATTGCTTAGGGTTGAATCCCTCTAGGATAATGTTGAAATGGGTTTATGGAATTAAACTAAGTCAATGAAGGATTTTCTATCTTGTAAATTGTAAGGAATACCCTAGACTAGCAATCAAGTCAATGGACATGCACTTGATCACTCTTCTATGTAGCTAGGTTGGTTTAATGTCATGCAACCAACTAGATACCCAGAGCATAAGGTTTAGACTCCTTAAACACGTGCAAAGGAGGCTATAACTCAATGGTCATACAATTATAAACTCAGTCTATTGATGGATGTTCTAATGTTGACCTGATTAGATGGTCGTTTTCTCTTAGGCCAAGAACACCAAATACAAATACTCAAAAAAAGCACAAGGAAACATGATTAAACATCAATAGATACAAACAATGATGTTAACATCGGGTTGAGTCATTCGATCCGATCGGTAAAAAACCGGGATCCGTCACCAGCTAGATCCGAATAATTTATTAAACTCCAACTTTGAACTGCACGGTTGGATAACAGTTCGACAATTAATCGTTCAAACTGGATGAACTGACCATCCCGCCCAAAGTTTCCAACCATCAAACGAAAAAAATTCTTAACATGCATCTGAGCAGTTGGAGCTTGGTAGAAAGAAACATAAAAAATCATAGTTTCTCCTCTTCTTAGCTCAAGAAGCAATGATTGAAGCTGAAGCTCGTGCCAACACCATCTCTCAGCCATTCACCTTGCGCGTTTCTTCCTTGTGTTGGCTACCTCCATTCCCCCCAATGACAACAGGTCGATATCAAAGAAATAGAAAATCATTGTGATGATGAGATAGGAAGTGAGAGAGACAAGAAGGAAGAGGGAGGGACGGAAGATGTGTTCTTCTTTTCTGGGAATGATAGGAGAGATGGGGAGAAACCGAGAGTGAGAGCGGCGGGGGATGCATTACTATATAGTACTCAGAATTAAATTACAGACCAGTCATCAAATTTTCTTAAACTATTGATGACTACACATTTACAAATGTTTTACCTCTCATTTTTTGATTGTTTCGCGTGATGTTTATCATACTCTGGCCTATTTTACGCTAGTTTATGTTCCTTTGTCACATTTCTAGTCCTATTACATTTCAATATATGCACTTCAATTCTCTGTTTCAGCTTGGGTTGCCCCCATTCTGGTCTCCGATCACACATTCAAACCCAACCTCACCCCTACAATTTCTGCCAACATCCGTATTAAACTTAATTCCCGCTGGTGGCATTTCAAATCAAAGTGCGAGCTACAATCTATGAAATAAATCAATTGAAGAGTAGAATCTAAAAAGCAATTGAAAAACAGGAACCCTAAGCTAGAAATATCATCTTTAGACGAGTAAGACTTCTCTTCCCACTACCTGGATTCCCTTAACCGCCAAACCCGTAGAGAGTCCTGCCTTGCCTCTTCGGAGTACAGACAACATCCATCGCCGTCCCCGTTTGTGTCAGGAGTTCTCTGTGTAGGTCACAGTATCGCCGATGATATTCTCCAAGAAGATCTTAAGAATGTCTCGAGTCTCATAGATCACTCCGTTGATTCTCTTCACCCCACCTCTACGAGCCAAGTCCTGAATCCTCGGCTTGGTGATTCTGTGGATGTTGTCCCTTGTGTTGACGCTTCGCTCCTCCCTTTCCCAGCCCCTTTCTCCCTTGCCACCACTGGACATTTAACTGATAGATCTAGTAAATTTTCATCGGGTGAGCTAATTTGGAGAAGCATAGAAGTGCGTGAGTGATTAGCAAAACAGTTTGAAGGTAAATATAGAAAGGGGAATAGCTTTGATTGAAATTGAATCATTTTTGGTCACAGAGCAAAAGGACCTGTTTGAAGGTAAATATAGAAAGGGAAGGCTTTGGTTGAAATTGAATCAATCTTGGTCGCAGACAAAAGGACCTGTTCCACCGTAGATAATATTAAATCGGTGGTTGGTGATGAAAGCTCGTCAATATGTGGATCGATGGCATGAATAAATTTCCCAATCTGCGTCCGTTTTAAAACATTTTGTCTGAAAATTTGGAAATCTTCCCGCGGGTTCTTTCCTTTCCCCCCAAACTTAATATTGGAATTTTGCTGGACAAAATCCGGTGTTGGGAGAAATTCGTTGGAAATTTTTCAATGTTGGAAAAATTGCTCCAATTGACTTTAAACCTTAAAATCGTATAAAAACATATAAATCATAGAGTTTATAAGTTTTACAGATTTTAACCGAAATTTTATGTGATTTTAAGATTAAAAGATTTAGTAGTAAAATTAATAGGCAGTTTACTTGCCATTCCATTTCTTATGGATGTTGCAACAGAAAACAAACTAAAATGAAAAACGAAGCTATCGTTTTCTGAGAAACAAAACCTAAAGAAACTTGTTTAGCTGAGAATTTGGTGAGTTCTGAAACTGGACTCTGAAAATGAAAACCCGTTTAGTTACTTCATACTGTTTTCTGATAATTGATTGCCACCATCTTTTGATGGAGTATCGTACAACTTTAGTGATTATTATAATTTTTAATATGAATCACATTGCTATCCCACAACTTATTTGTAATCCCACACGTCGTATATTCGTTGCTCGAGTAGGTAATAACACTAATGGTGAGAGGTAATCACCCTAAACAATGAAGCAATAAGGAAAAATTAAACCATTAAACATATGCTTGATCGAGCATTATAAGCCATCGATTGCAGAAAACTAGCAACCTAGAGCAAACGAGAAATAAGTTCATATCTAGATAAGTACATTGTTTATTGGAAGTTGTTAAATTAGTTCATGTACTGGGTGTTAGTTTGTATGTACTATAACAAAAGCAATTGGTTTATTATGATAAGATGACTCATGATAGGTTATCATATATATTATAACCAAATAGCCGTCTCCTATAAGGTTATAACAAGATTTATTATATAAAATATCTTAGTTACTAATTGCTAAACTCTATGTCCGTGACTGTAAAGGTTGCGATAATCACATTGGTAAATAATTAAGTATATGATCTATAATGTAAAATAGTCTGCATTTGAGATAGCTCGAGTGACATTATTGAGATAAGATAACTTATGATATGTTTTCAAATATACTATTTCCAATTAGTCATGCCCTATAAACTATACTAACCTTTACTATCAACAATGTATGAGTCACTAAATGTTAAACACATAAACTATCATAAGTGAACATTGATAATCAAATTGCATGATAAGTAAATAAGTATATGATTTATAATGTAAAATAACATAGATTTGAGATAGTTCAAGTGGTATTATATTGAAGATAAGATAACTCATGATAGGTTCTCAAATCTAATTAAGTCAACTAGTAATTTCATAGTCAACTAGTCATGCCCTCCACATACAAATTCATATTTGAATGATTGAAATTTTGATACACCAAAGGGGAAAGCACAAAAAAATTTCCAAACACGAAAATTTGTCTTATCCTTTGACTTTCCATAAATTAAAGCACTCAAGTATCCTTCTTCTTTCTCTTCTAAAATATTAAACACCAAATTTCTTCCATATTTCCTTTCCCAAAAGTGGAAAACACAAAATTTCCCCCTTATTAAACAAATGCACCAAAATTTTCCACTTATTTCTTTCAAAAATATTGAAAGCAACAAATTTTCATTTTCTTTCTGTTCTAAAAAAGCTGCAAACACCAAAATTTTCACTCATTTTAAAATAATCAAATTATCAAACACATTACTTTGCTATATTTATATTTAATTGATTACATTGCTGAAATTAACCAATTGTATATATACCATATTAATGGTATACATTGTCTCAACGGTTGATTATTCATTATCAATATTGGCATTGTGCTTCTTTATATTTTGTATTAAGTTCTGCAAAATTTTCTAGAAATTAATGTTCAAGTGAACTTCATTTTTGAAAATTTTCAATTTCTAAAATTGTACCTTCTTTCAAGTGATTTTTTTAACTTTCCTTTATGAAATAAAAATGGCTTTACTTAGGTTTAAGAAAGAAAAACTTCAGTTTGAAAGACTATATATTATATAATATGGTAATTATTCGGATCAATCGGGAGGGTTCGGGTTAGTCGGGTTGCGGGTTAATTGGGCTACAGGTCAATCGGGTTACGGGTCGGGCGGATTACGAGTCGTTGACGTTTAGTCGATTCGGGTTGCGGCTCAGATTGACCGGGCGGGTTATTCGGGTCGATCTCTGTTTTGACTGCTATACATGTGACTTCAATTTCAATGAGCTAAACTAAAAACCGATTCGAACTCTTATCTCACTTCCTCGATCAAGCCAACGATTAAATCAAGTTGACAACATTGTCAAAACTCAAAACCATAATTGCAAGAAAAATAAATTTTGTGACAAAAAAACCAAAACGAAAATCGAAATTGAAAGAAGACACTTTTCCTTATAGCTCACTAGTAAAAGGGAATGTTATCCTTGCAATAAAAAGGAATGTTATCCTTATAGACCCAAGTATCAACCCGAATTTCGTGAATCTCGTCCCCTACTTCTTCATGAACAACGCTTCCCCATAGAGTAGAGACAATCGTGTCTTCATATGACATTATTTAATGTACTTGGGTTAATGCCACATTTAGTCACTGTGATAACTAAATTGTGTCATGTTTAGTCACTCAAAAATATTAACTTTGGTCAATCAAATTACTAAAACATGTCACATTTAGTCACTCTCTGTTAGCCTCCATTCAAATTCGTTAACAGAGACCGTTAAGTGCTGACGTGGCTAACAAGAGCGTCCAGTTAGCGCCGTTTTGGGCAAAAAATGGCCAAACTCGACCCGCCATGTCATACACCCAACCCAACTCTTGAACCAACCCAAACCCTTTGACCTGACCCAAACCTTCTTCCTCCTTCCTCCCACCTTCTACTTTCCCCAAATCCACAAACCAGCGGCTGGGCCGCCGCCAGGCACCAACGAGCACTTCGGCTACGGCCGCTTTCACCAAGCTCCGCAGCGAGCAAACCAACTTTGTACCGTCCCGGAGAGCTCACTATGTGCCAAGTTCAGAACTTCGATCTCGGGCAAATGACCCATCAGCGAATTGAAGCTCACGTCGAAAACCTGCATAAGGGAGAAGAGCTCGATTCCTTCGGGGACGCACCCCGTGAGTTGATTGTTGAGGAAGAGAATCTCTGAGTCTTGAGTTCGTGAACCCCAGGCTTAAGGGGATTTATCCAGTGAACTTGTTGTATCCCAAATTATTGACGGAGGCCAGGGGCTTGCTGAAATTGTCCAGGATTTCACTGTCTAATTGGTTGTTGTTGAGGAAGATGGCGTCGAGGCGTTTGTCAAAGAGGGCATCGGGGATTGGACCCAAGAAGGAGTTTAATCGGAGGTCGAGGTAGACAAGATTGGGGATGTAGAGAACGAAGGAGAGAACTCGTTGGAGAATCAGTTGTTGCTGAGGTCTAATACCTGGAGGGAAATTAGGTCACAAAATGTCTCTGGGACGATGCCGTAGAATCTGTTGGAATTGAGGTGGAGGAGAGTTAGATCGGTGAAGAGGGAAAGCTCTTCCTTGGAGATTGGCGCAGTTGAGATATATTCTAGTGACTGTGGGGTGGAAGAAAAAGAGTGGATTGTTGTTTGCAGAAGATCCCCTTGTAGGAGCATACATTCTGGCCGACCTAGGTGGTGAGGACGCCGGAAGGGCCAGCGGAGATTGCGGATTTCCAGGCCTGGAGAGCAGAGTAAGGGGTGGAGCCGGCCGCAAAATTGAGGTTTTGAGGGGAGGTCACTCCGCCGCCAATACCTGCATTGCATTCCGATGTTGTGTGGGTAGGAGGAGTAAGAACAAAGACAAGAGGGAGATCTTGGTGTGGGCAATATGTATATTAGTTGATGGGATCTTGGCGGTGGATTAGGGGAAAGTACGAGGTGGGAGGAAGTAGGAAGAAGGTTCAGGTCAGGTCTAGAGAAGAATATAAAGAGTTGGACCCAGGGTTGGGTTGGTTTTAATGATGTGGCGAGTTTTAATGATGTGACAAGTGGAGTTTTACTTTTGTTTAGTTAAATTTGGCTGACTAGGCGATTATGTTTGCCACGTCAACACTTAACCGACTTTATTATCAAAATTGGACGGAGACTAACAGAGAGTGACCAAACATGACATGTTTTGCCAAACTTAGTGACCATGATTGATATTAATTTTTCTAGTGACTAAACATGACAATATTTAGTAAATCCAGTGATCAAACTTGGAATTTACCCTTTAATGTTTATGAATTATGATATTATGATGCAAAGTGGATTACTTTGAGACTTTGTATTTATGTTATTTACTTGGATTTATCATTTATGGTATCAAACTTATGCATGTGTTAAAATTCATGGTCTAAGGAAAAATAGATTTTGTCTCCATAGTTGATGCTATTTTAAATGTGATTGACTACACAAACTGTTCATTAATTGCTCAATTTGGTCTGCATGATCTAAATGTACTAGACTACCACGCAAGCATGGTCTAATTTGGACTATGCAATATTTGATCTAGACTCTGATCTATAATCGTACTTCTCGACTAGTTGTAAGCCCGGCCTGTTGGCCGAAAAGGAACTAGGAAGTCAGGTTGGGTTGTATGGATAATTTTCAGCATAAATCTATGTCTAAATATAGTAGTTGATCAATCAACCTTTGTGCATCATGTATTTATATTAGTTCATACCGATAGAGTGGTACATTTAAATAGACGGATTTGGTGGTCATTCGGTTGAAAGGAAAGATTTTTTTGTTCCACATGGCCTAGGTAGCTACAATGTAAAAAACTTGGCGGATGTGGAAAAAGTGCACTAAGTTGGATGAAATAAATGAATTAGTTTCGCAATTGTACCACATAACCAAGAGACATGTGTTCATGGACTTAATAGAAAGGACAGACTTCAAACAATAAGTCTAAGTCGATGCACAATTGTATAAGTGAACGAAAAGAAAGTAGACCTAAAGAGGAAATATTTTTTGCAAGAGCATATCACCATTGGTCGAATTGTAACACATTCCCACATTGACCATAAACTCATATGAATTTCCATGTAGAGAAGCCAAGATGTTGAAGTAGTAGTCCCCCCAAGCAGTGAGTGTCAACAATGTCCACAATATTGGTAGCTATTCTTCTAAATGTAGATGACGAAAACACGACTTCAATTATAGTTCCTCCATTTGCGAATGTTAGGTGGACCATATATACGAAAAAAGCGTCAACCCAGGAAATGGCTACTTCTTCCACTTCACCACGAAATATGTAATTGTTTTCCTACACAAATCAGGAGGCAATTCGTCAATCCAAAAACCAAAAGAGAATGGGAAAATCATCATAACAATGCTATAGTAGCAATGTTAAGAGGTAGAGGTTCATTTTACCATATTCTCTTGGTCGCGTTTAACAGAGTTGATTTCGTGAACTGAAGAATATTGGGATCTTGATATGGCATCCGCATATGCTAGTCGTGCGGCCATGGAAGCATTTAGTTGCCTAAAATGAGAATTTGTTTTAATCTTAATACTAATAAGATTAGGATAGATTCTCATCCCCAAACAATATATTGCATAAGAAACACTCACCGATTTAACAATGGGTGCTGGCGGGGACAATGAAGATTGACATAAATCTTTGTTGCTCGAGAGGCATGAAAGGAATAATGAAGACTGACCTAAAGAAACACTCACTGATTTAACAATGGGTGCTGGCGGGGACAATGAAGATTGACATAAATCTTTGTCGCTCGAGAGGCATGAAAGGAATAATGTCCTAAGGAACATGTAACATTCAAAAAATAATGGCAGGCAGTTGATTGATAATAATATTTAGCGACAAATATAAGTTGAACTATAAGGTAAAAACGATATATATATATATATATATATATGGTGGCTTCTATGGTACCCCGGGTGAAATCCAGGGTACCGTATACCTTGAGTATGAAAACACTATCTAGACCTCGAATTAGCAGAATTTTTGGGCTTGATACTATACCCTAACCCTTAATGAGTGAACCCTAGGTCCTAATTATCTAAATCATAAACTATAAACCCTAAGATGAAGCATTCATCTTTTTGCCTATATTTGGACGAATAATAGCCATCGATTCTTGTTTCTAATTAAATTGATCTTGGGGTATAAGATTTAGAGAACTAAGACCTAGATTTTGATCTTTAAGAGTTAGAGTATGACATCATGTCCAAAAGATCAATCAATTCAAGGTCTAGATAGCGTTTTCATACTCAAGGTATGCGGTACCCCGGATTTCACCCTGTGTACCGTAGAACTCACCATATATATATATATATATATATATATATATATATATATATATAGTTGATTGATAATAATATTTAGCGACAAATATAAGTTGAACTATAAGATAAAAACGATATATATATATATATATATATATATATATATATATATATATATATATATATATATATATATATATATATATATATATATGGTGCCTTCTACGGTACCCCGGGTGAAATCCGGGGTACCACATACCTTGAGTATAAAAACGCTATCTAGACCTCGAATTAGCAGGATTTTTGGGCATGATACTATACCCTAACCCTTAATGAGTGAACCCTAGGTCCTAATTATCTAAATCATAAATTATAAACCCTAAGATGGTGCATTGATTTTTTGCCTATATTTGGACGAATCATAACCGTCGATTATTGTTTCTAATTAAATTGATCTTGGGGGTATAAGATTTAGAGAATCAAGACCTAGATTTTGATCTTTAAGGGTTAGAGTATACTATCATGTCCGAAAGATCAGTCAATTCAAAGTTCTGGATAGCGTTTTTTTACTCAAGGTATGCGATACCCCGGATTTCACCCTGGGTACAGTAGAACTCCCCATATATATATATATATATATATATATATATATATATATATATATATATATATATATATATGGTGCCTTCTACGGTACCTCGGGTGAAAACTGGGGTATCACATACCTTGAGTATGAAAACGCTATCTAGACCTCGAATTAGAAGGATTTTTGGGCATGATACTATACCCTAACCCTTAATGAGTGAACCCTAGGTCCTAAGTATCTAAATCATAAACTATAAACCCTAAGATGGTGCATTGATTTTTTTGCTTATATTTGGACGAATCATAACCATCGATTATTGTTTCTAATTAAATTGATCTTGGGGTACAAGATTTAGAGAATTAAGACATAGATTATGATTCGTCCAAATATAGGCAAAAAACAATGCACCATCTTAGGGTTTATAGTTTATGATTTAGATAATTAGGACCCAGGGTTCACTCATTAAGGGTTATGGTATAGTATCATGCCCAAAAATCCTGCTAATTCGAGGTCTAGATAGCATTTTTATACTCAAGGTATGCGGTACCCCGGATTTCACCCAGGGTACCGTAGAAGGCACTATATATATAGCCATTCAATGAAAAAAATCACAACCATGCAAAAATGTAGACATAAAAAGTAAATGAAAGCGACTTTATGATATGTATTTTCGTTTTTGTGGATAAAAAGAAGTGAAGACAACAACCTGACCAACTGTTGCATCATCGGTTGTAAGAGCTTCAAACATTGTGATCAAAGAGTCCCATAATAATATTTCAATTATGTCTCCCCTAGATGACGTGAATATTGTAATAAATATGGATAATTGTATATGAAGGGAAAATTTTAAATTGTGAATCCATACTAACTCAAGCAATCGGAGCAAGATTCATTTGTTGCGAAGAGTGGGAACAGTGGGGTATGGCAACATAATTGGCGCACAGCTCACGACAACACCTACCAAATCTAAATAAATATTGAAGCATGAGTCATATAGTGTTCTTGTGACGATTGAATGTAAAACATTTGCCTACAACCAAAAAGAAGCAAAGACAGAAGGTACCTGGGAGGTATAATGGGTTGGCCACAACAAGAGGGAAGTCCCCGGAGGACAAAAATCGAAAGCTGAAATGGGGGATGCCCAATGCCTCTTCGAGCTGTTCAACCAACGTATTGCCATAAAACGAATCATCAAATCATTTACAGCAACCCGTTGGGAGGAGAAGTTTTCTTCAACGTCAAAATCGCTGATTTTATATATCCCGCTTGGACAAAATGTCGACAAAAATGTGTGTATATCACAACAACGGATGACGGCTTGAATCTGTATGCCCTAAATAGAATAACATGGAATATAATTAAGTGGGAGGACATTGTGATTAAGATAGTAAATAGCAAGAAATACTTACCAATTTGTCAAGGTACAAAAGCATCACATGTTGAATGGTGTCGCCATTTGCAGCCAGTTTGACCCATAACCTCAATGACCTAACTCGGATGGCCCACCAATTGCCATGAAGAGTCAATCGTGCAATTGGGTAAACAGGCATTTTCTAAGAGTCTGTGAGTGTGAAGGATGGATTGGGATAATGAGATCTCTAAGGTATGAATGAAGAATAGTTGGAGTGACTGACTAATCGAACTGGTTGAGGGTTTAACTAAGTTTGAGGTTAGGTGAAATACACTTTGCTGGAACGCGAGCATGCAAAATGGTAATAACCTAAAAGCATCGAATACCAAATCAGATGTGCAGGTGGTGCACTTGAAATCAACTGGTATAACAGGTAAGCTGCAAGAGAAGTGGTAGTACCAATATAGTTCTTGTAGACATAGACAGAAGTGAATGCTGCCAACGTTTCTACTTGGGGCTGATTAGGAATTGTAGCTTCAAATTCATCAATTAGGGAATCAAAGAGGAGGACTTCAACAGTGAATCCCCTAAAGT